CGCCCTTAAAGATCTTGAGATTCTTGATTTCTTTCTTGGTATTGAAGTACAGAGAGCTTCCTCTGGTAAATTGCTTCTCACTCAGACCAAGTATATTAAAGATCTTCTTCATCGAGCTCAAATGGCAGAAGCTAAGGGAATTTCCACTCCTCTTCAATCTGGATGTAAACTTTCAAAATATGGGTCTAACTACTACTCTGATCCTTCCTTCTATCGTTCAATTGTTGGGGCTCTCCAGTATGCTACACTAACTAGGCCTGAAATAAGCTACTCAGTCAACAAAGCATGTCAGTTTATGGCTCAACCTCTTGAAGACCATTGGGCTGCTGTCAAAAGAATTCTACGTTACTTAAATGGCACTTTACATCATGGTATGATGTTACAGCCGTGCAATCCCAGTCACTTGTTCTCCATCACTGCCTTCTGTGATGTAGATTGGGCTAGTGACCCTGATGACAGGAGGTCTACTTCAGGTGCATGTGTTTTCTTTGGTTCTAACTTGGTGTCCTGGTGGTCCAAGAAGCAAAATCTGATTGCTCGCTCAAGCACCGAAGCTGAATATCGCAGCCTTGCTCTAGCTACAGCAGAGGTTCTATGGCTCAAGTCTCTTCTCACTGAATTTCACGTTCCATTTACTACCCCTCTCATTCTTTGTGATAACCTGAGTATTGTCTCTCTCTCTCCCATAATCCTGTTCTGCATGCACGGACAAAGCATATGGAATTGGACATCTTTTTTGTTAGAGAACGTGTTCTTTCCAAAGATATCAAGGTCTGTCACATTCTAGCTTTGGATCAAGTTGCTGATACTCTCACCAAGAGTCTTTCTGCCACACGGTTTGCTGTATTGAGGGACAAACTCATGGTGGTTGATTCTTCTTCTTATCTTCATCCACCCTGAGTTTGAGGGGGCCTGTTATAGTAGATAAAGGTGTACAGCTGTATAGCTGTACACAAAGGTCATTTTCTCAGTTTTAGATAACTGATTATAGTTGTAACTGAACTAGATCACGTGGCAATAGTTGTTGTGTCTATATAGTCTATCGTGTAACACCTCATTTCAAGAAATACTATTCATTCTCTCTCCGTGTGTACTCTCTCTTCATCTCTTCTCTCTCTCTCTGATTTCTTTGAATTACAATATAACATTTTGGGTCCTCAACGAAAATTACGGGCCTCAATTTTATCTCTTTAGAAAAAAAGTCTACTCGTGATCCTTCAGAATTCAAAAATAGCCCTAGATAATCAAAATCATAGTCTCTGAAATTCAAAAACACTCACATTAATCCCTCAAAAGGACTAACATGGGTCTATTTTAGAATTTAAAGGGATCACGAGTCGACTTTTTTTTTAAGAGATTAAATTAAGTCATGTAATTTTTGTTGATGACCCAAAATACATTCTATTCATTTTTTTCTCCAAAAATTTTTTGTGTGCACCTGCACACACTAAAACATACGCAGGTCTGCCACTGCTTTAAAATGACGTATACTTTTTCCTTTTAAAAAAATTCTGGTATGCCGTTTTTTCTTCCCTAAAAGTTTTCATTGAAAGGAAGAGAATTATCAAGCAAAAGGTTGAAAAGTGGAATTTAACTTATTTTAGGGACCGTTTGGTACGTGGCATTTTTTAGGATTTTCGGAAAATTGAGAATGGTAATCATATTTATCCATGTTTGGTACAAGTTTTTTAAAAATTTTATGGGAATGTGATTTTCCCATTATTTTATTTTATGTGTAAATTTTTTTGAAAATACCATCCAGGAATACCATACAGGGGGTGGTATTATAGGATTTCTATGGGAAGAACAAATTTAATACAACTAAACATAGCATTAGTAAAATTAACCCAATATTCATGAGAATATTTTCGTCTACCAAACACATTTTTTGTAACATTCCCAGAAAACTCCTCCTCCCATCATATTCCTGGAAATCGTGATTCCCGGATAAAAAAAATTTCTCCTCTACCAAACACACTTAATGTTGCTTTTTTCTCTTCTTTTCGATCAATGGGAAAGATAAATTGCTGGGACAAAATAAGAAAGGGATCCAAACCTTTCAAATAAATAAAATAAGGAAGGGATCCACTTATGCCAATATATGAATAAGAACTCCTGCGTTCATCCATAACCGTTGATTTTATTTATACATTATCAAAATGAATTTTTGTCTTCTGATAACTTTGTTTTTCCATCTTCTTGTCTTTTTCACTACGTACTTAATCTCATTTGCAAATTCATTTTTCTATGGAGATCTAAATGGTGCTACATGTGGCTGCCCAGAAAAGGTAATGCCAAACAAGTTTTCTTACCTAATTGTTTTATCTTTACAATTTTTGCGATTATGAATGCAAAATACTTGTACTTGTCGTTTTATCAGCATCTAATAGTAACATTGTTTCTAATACTTTGGTACAAGACACGACAAGAAGCTATCTGCTTGATTAGCTTGTTTGAGAAAAGCAGCATGCAACCGTCCATGACAAGCTGTATTTTCTGACTAGTTCTCTCCAAACACATGCTACCATTTAATCCTTACGGGAGCGTTTGGTTGGAGAGAAATTTTATGAATAATAAGAAAATGTTATGCATAGAGAAATAGTTGGAGGATTATGTTTGATAGGAAAATGTAAAAAAAATTATTTGGTTGGAAAAAATTTGGATGGGCAAATTAAGTAATTTTTATAAAGTCAATGTTTGGCTATAAGTAACATATAGATAAGTAAATGCAGTGGGTATTACAAAAATACCCCTGACTTTAAATATTTTTGAATTCATTTTGAAGACACGCGTAGAACTGGGGTCATGCCTGGTGGCCCTTCATTCAAAGCTAGAGCAGCATGAAAGCTACTGCAATAGTCTTGACACCAGTCCATCCCTTGCGCAGGCCTTGGACAGTCCCAAAGTGCACATTTTGGACCTAAGAAAGCAGAAAGAAGAGGGCAGATGCTTGGTAGATAGCTAGATATATGAGGAATAGCATCCTCCTCAGAATAACCTGTACCATTAAAACTAGTATAAAAGCTGTGATTGAAGTCCTGATGCCAATCAAACTGATGATATCCTAAAGTAGCCTCATCTGGGTTGTTAGGCGCCACAACAACTCTGCAACAAATAGATCTAACCAGATAGATATTTTCAGTTTCGTGCACAAGTGGTGGGTACGCTGGTCATATGCCTCTTGCCCATTCTGAAGATTTACATAGATAACGTAATATACCACATCGCAAATGGGAAAGTATGGCCGGGTTTTTGGATCAAAAGCACATGCAAACTGTAAAGATGGGGTAATGATTTAGGTGGACTTTTCTTCAGAAAGTTCCAACCAAACATGGCCACCGACTAATCCCATCTTTCAAATGCCTATGCATCTTCAAGGAACCCTCCAACCAAACACCCCCTACAAGAAAGCACATTGGCTGATATTTGATAGGGGAAATCAAATGTAAAAGAAGAAAAGCAGATTCTTTCTGGGTGATAGGTGGGCTATATATCGGAACCAAGAAATAACAAACCAAAAATTGCAATGACCTGTACGATTTTCTTGTCCCGCAAAGAAGGCACCCATGAACTTTTTTCTTAACGGATATAATGCTAAAGCAAAGTTAATCCATGGCTCCGTGCAACTTTGCAGGAGTCTTTTAAGGCCCAGACAGGGTTCTGTATTTAACAACATCCTAGACCTCTTTCCCGTTGCTTAAAGTTAAGAATCAAGAAGAATAATAGAAAGTGAAAAGGAGACTTCATATCATAAGCTTATGTGGTGGGCCGAAAAACCAATTTTTTCTTTTTTTAGATTAACTACAGCTATTCTTCATGGAAGACAATCTTATTCGAGATGAGTAAAAGATTAAAGTTTTAAATCTCTCCTAAAGATAATACTAACTAGGATCAAACACATACTCTCACCCCATTATAATTCAGAAGGTCAGAATATTTTTGTTTCATGTTCAGATTCAAAGTGGCAGGCACAAACGTGTTTTTAGCCCTCCAAGTGCGAGCGGACTCCCCAAACATGGTTTAACGCCTTTTTATGTGACTTTGACACTATGGTTCTCATACTGATAAGTGCATGCAATACGTGAGGCTACAACGCTCATACCCCACTGCAGCAGTAGGAATCCTTCTGCAAGACCGATTAAACAGCTAAAAATTTAGCTAACTGTTGCCAGAAATTGCACATCAGAGAAAATTATTGGTTTGATATGATTCTCCCTTTTTATCTCAAAGGTTATACTTTCATGCATTATGTTTCAGAAAGGCAGATCCATGCATCATCCATGAATTAAACTGCAAAGGTATCACGACCAAATTAAAAGACTTCTAAGTAAACAAAACCAGACAAGATGATTAAGTATTTGCAATTGCTATGTAACAGAAGCTTCAGGGGACATACGCACTGCAAAAAGAACGAGAAGAAACTATTTCTAGCAAAGGCAACATTAGACAACGCAATTTACGTACGGGACAATAGAATATTTTAAAAAGTCATTGCGAGAGCAACGAGGCCTTCTAGAGTATCATTGATTTGAATGCGCAAAATGAACACTCGGGGGAAAAAAATAGCAAGAATATTATTACGTGTATTAACCAGCAATGTTTTTTAAGGCTATGATAGGAAGACCACACATTCTGCCTTTCCAGATGGACATGAAAATACTTCTGGCAGGAAAATATATAAGCAAAATAACAATTACTTCCCCTTAGTTTAGAAAAAAAATTCTCATTTCCACAAACACAAGATCCGAGTAAGGCTGAGTTTTACAGATAAAAACTACAAAGTTTAAAGTTGTAGAAATTAATTAAAAACAAGGATTAACTACCTCAATTAAACCGGGAGTATTCAAAAATGATTTGAGAGACCACATAGAACTTCACTTATTAAAATGAATTAGCCAAAGTGATGTCCTTAACAGAAAAATGATTCCTTAAACAAAAACAAGTAGTGTAAACCTCTAATAGCTCCATAAACAACCCCATGATTAGACTTTATAGCATGGAGGGAAGTACCATGCTAAATGCAATAGAAAAAGATAAGAGATGAAATTCAACTAAAAGGGATATATGCAAACATCAATTTAATTAAGTCAAGTCACTGCAATGCCACTAAAGCCTTAGAGGTATCTTGCACTGACAAATCAGACTAAAAACAACCCCGAATTAGTGGCTAACATGACCACAATTACATGTTACTCTCCGCAGCTACGTTGTTCACATACACAGCCGTTGAAACCTGAAAATATACTTATAAAAGTTTACAAGAACAGACATCAGCTCCTGTTCACGGGTTCAAGTGCCTCAACAGTGACCACACTATTTCCTCTAATTACCTGCAGTAAGTGGGTAAAATTATCAATTTCAAAACCGTGTTCATACTCTATTAGTTGCTATACCATGATCACTTATATTAAAAAGATAATGCAATAGATGAGGACTCACCACCATCCCTATGTCATTTTTTTCATTGCCATTCACTTCCACAGTATTGTCAACAACTAAATTCATGAACTGGTCAAAGCCCCGGAGAGTACCAACAATCATGCGATTTGCATTCAGCTTGACTGCAAGGAAATACCAAGTATTTCAGTACCCCTCCCCCCAATTGTAAGAATTGTTTTCAAATATTATAGGTTTAAGTGCTTAACCCATATGTGCATAGATATATACCAACAAACAAACAAACAACACAAGCAGAATTCACAAATAATAAAAAACAACAGCTACATAAATAAGAAACAAAACAAAAACCAAATTAAAAAAAAAGGACCTAATGCATCCTTAATGACTAATGAATAGGTGAAGCAATAACTAGTATGTATTTCCCTGCAACTCAAAAATAAATAAATAAACAGATAAAAGCGTAATGATACTCTCACTATCACACTTGATCTCAATAGGCTCGTATCTCTCACACCCGAAGTGAGGCAATCATTATTCAACATAAAATACAGAAACTTAAGATAACAGATATTCAGAACATGAACCAAAATAAAATACCTGTTGAATTATCAACCAGGCTAAAACATTCTCAGTTCCACGTAACCATCTTCAGCTATCAAATAAATAAAATCAAATTTCCCAACACTCAACCTCATCACCAGAAAACACTGAACTATAATGACAGTGAAAAATGCAATTTAAGAAGGATATTTCCATGGCCTCAAAAAATAAAAAACTCAATTAATGTAAAAAATAAAAATCCTAACCAAACAAGGAAGACAATAACAACATCCAAAATACATTGTTTAGAAGAAGCACAGATACAGAATCAAACTTACTTTGAAGCTTCTTGTCCATGTACCTGCCGCATCCCCAAAAGAAAAAACAGGAAAACGCATATTAACACCGACAAAGTGTAGCAAAATTAAAAAAATAAAATCGAAGTGAAAAATGAGAGAAAAACTTACTTCTTCAAATCTGGTGGCTGCCCTGACCTGCTCATGGTGAAGAGTTGAGATGAGAAGGGTGAACAACACCGAAAGAAGAAGAAGAAGAAGAAGAAGAAGAAGATTTGGTGAGTGAGAGTACAAAAATCTCAGCTCCAACCAAAACCCTAACTTTGGAGGAATTTGTTGGAAGGCAGCAATCGAAAATGGGTCTCGGTCCATGTTCAAAGGCCCATGAAAATGAAGCCCACATTCATGGCCCAAAATTAAGGAAAGCCCATTTCAAGAAAATGTGAGACGCTGAATACTGCAGGTTTGATACATAATATAAGATAAGGCTTGATAGTATAAGATCTAATTGTATAAGACCTGATTAAATTTTAATATTATCCAGCGTTTGGTATGATATTGTATAATATAATATCTTCCAATATTTTAAAAATTAATATATAAAAAAATTTATTTTAATATATAAATATTGAAATGATATATTAGTTCTTGGGAATTGTACGTGTAAGCAATATTAATACATCAATTATCATCTGGCCTAATCCATCACTCCAAGGCAGGATTAAGTTATACATCATTTTAATGTATAAAGGGGTCTGCTGTATAAGCTTATACTATATGATGGTTACATCAAACAACTGAAAATGTCATGACATATAGTATAAGCTTATATTATCAAACCTTATACATCACACCAAACAGATCCTAAATATTAGCCATTAGGGATGTAAATGTGACATGTGATTTATCATAGGCATGTGGTTCACCTTCACCTACATCAGAATAAATTTATTATATTTAGTAAAATATAACAGGTTTAATTCTTAAAAAAACTTTATTTAGAAAGGAGACAATTAGTTTTCTTTTTACAAGGTTTGACCAATAAATATAGAAATTGACCTATATCGTATTATTTATTTTAAATAAATTATATAAAATTATTATTTAAATAATATATATTTTTAATTTTTAAATGCTTAATAGACTTGCACAGACCTAAACCAAATATTTTGTTTTTTAAATATAAATTCGTTGAAACTTATAATTTAGCCTACATTAACATATAAGATCAAGTCAAATTCAAATCGCGGCCCACCTTTTTACGCCTTTATTGACTATCTATCCGGTTGAAATCTGATCGGAACGAGATCGTGGCATTCATACAACCTTTTCAACAAAATTCATAAGACATAAGACAAGTTCGCATCAGAATATTTACTTTTCCTTATTATTTTCCAACTTCAAGTTACGTGAAAACCATCATATAGAGTTTTTACTTGATGAAAATGACGAATTTATAAATACCTTCCAAGTAAAAAGAATCTTATCATCACTTTCCGCCATTCCGCTAGTTGTAAATGAGCAATGGTAAAAGCAAAAAATGCCTTAAACCTTTTTTAAATGTCAATCAACAAACATTATGAAAGGTAATGGCTGTTGTTTCCATTCATTCGTACACGATTAAAACACAAAAGTCACCTGTAGCCACTGTTGGCTATATATCGCTATTCAAACTTGGCAGCTTAGAATTTGACTTCTGGAGTCTAGTCGTGAATTGCTTGGTGTTGCACGTCAATTTTATATATATGTTTTTTTAAATCAGTACTCATATTTATTTAGCAATCATTTGCTTCTATTACAAATAATAGTAACTCTAATTCTTTATTTATTTTCTAACTAATTTTTCGTGTGTCTTGAATGAATGTGAATCACTAAATTATATTTTGTACTAACGCATCAAAAGTTTGTGTATACACCATTTGGGAAATGAATACTGCGCTAATTGTTGAAGATTGAGACGATTAATAACTAGAAAATATCTTAGTGTAAGGTTAAATATTAATAAGAAATATAATCCTACTTATCTGAACCAGTTTTACAATTGGACTGATCATGTAATCTTCTTCTACACAAATGACCTGAAACAGTCTTGAATCATAGCATCTTGCAGTTGGAGCAGCTTTAACTCATATGTCTTCAACGGAACAAGATGAGGTTGTACCTGCAAGACACTCCGACGCTCAAGTTAGATATGGTTCAAGCATTTTTTATTATGTAAAAGAAAATGTATACCTTTGTGTTAGCATATATGTATTTATAGTAGAGAGATGAGCAGCTTGCAAGTGGTGAAGCGGCAAGTCTTCTAATTGGTTACTGTAGGTGGTTGAGATAAGTTTTGCTTGTCTTGGTGCCAAAGTAATATGGCTATAACGTTTAATGTTGAGGAGCTTGCTGAGATAAGCTTGGGAGATGGAGAAGAGGTAACATCCTTTGTTGACCAAAGCTTTGTTTAATGATGAAGACCTTGAATGTGGGCCTCTTTTATGTGGTCCTCATATTAATATTCAGATCACCTACGATTATCAACGGGTAGATTCAAAGCTCCACCCTTTTTGGTTTTTTATAATTGTAGAGGATCCTACTTCGTCGTTTTAATATACCCAAATTAATTATTAAATAAATATGTTTTTAATCACATTATTTGGCACACTAATTTTATCAAACTAAATTTTGGTATCCTAATTTTAATTTTTTTGATATTAATATTTACCTCATTAAATTAAATTAATACTATCAAATCGAGCTTGTCTCCCTGATGACATATATTTCACACATACAGGAGGAGTTTATATATAGAGAGAGGGGCGGGGGAGAGATTTTATATTTCTTATCATATTAGATGAAATCATTTTAGAAATTCCAAAACCATGAAAATTTGGGATTTAAGAAAAGAAAATGGTATTTTGGACAAATTTAGGTTATATAAAAAAAAGTAAAATTATCAAAATATTTTTTTATTTTACTCTAAATCTTAAAATTATGTCTTTGGGGATGGTAAGAGATAATTATTTATAGGAAAAAAGGTTTCTCAAATTATTTTAGATAATCTTATCTGCAGCGCGCGCAATTTTAAATATGTTTTACCGGTAAGATATAGTTATAATGAAAAAAAATTTCTTCACTACGTTAACCAACAATGTCTAAAAAGAGAAAGATAAATTTTTTTTATTATTATAACTATGTCTTACAGGTAAAACATAGTTAAAATCACGTGCTACAGATAATTTATCTAAAGTTACTGTAGAAAAAATTAACCCTTATATATATCAATCTATAACAATAAATACTTTTATTGTCTTCTTTTTTAAAACTACAACATTCTATATAGTAAAAAAATATAGTTAAAACCATGTGCTACAGATAATTTATCTAAAGTTATTGTAGAAAAAATTAACCCTTATATATATCAATCTATAACAATAAATACTTTTATTGTCTTCTTTTTTAAAACTACAACATTCTATATAGTAAAAAAAAAAAACTAAACTAAACCTTTATTTATATGAGGAACCAGAAAGTATGGTCGTGGAAGTTTCAAAAAGTTGGGTACGGTAGTAAATGAATTTAACCATCCGTGAGAAAACAAAAGTTCTTGAAACTTTGAACGAGTTCTTTTTCATACTCATTATAATATTTAAAGAGTTAGCCTCGTGACAATGTTTATAAAAGTACTTCTTTGAGGGTAAAACAAAAATGCATATATTTTTTAAAATAATAGCTCGAGTTTTAACTTGGTAAAAAAACAGTCTTACCCTATTTTTTAGGTTCAATAAAGACACTTAACCTGATTTTAAATTCACTAATTATGTGGGTCTCATTTCTTGATTTTTTTTTCTCCTTTCTTCTCTCTCCTCTCTCTCTTCTCAATTGTGTGGATAAATTTGTTAAAACCCTTACTTTTTACTAGATGATAATTTTGGTGAACGAGTTACTTTATTTGCATATTTGTGTATTTATATATTATCCAAGATTCAAGAATTGCGAAATGGTGAGTTAAGAGAAATTGAACATCAAACATGATGTTTTATGGACGCCATAGACACCGACCAAATAAGTGCTCAATTTTAGCTACATGATATTAAATGTTTTGATTATATTAATCTCTATAATTTCTCTTAAGTTATTTTATGAATATTGTTCATAAACCATTACAAATACAAAATATGATTTTTTTTTTTTTTTACTAATATTCTAGGCTCATGAGTGCCGTCTATTTTCTAGCTTATCTTCTTCTTATAAATAAATATTATATCAAACAAGTTTTTATAAAAGTTCTAATTATAAAAAAAAGTTTATACAGAAAGAAAGAGGTAAAAGCTAAAAGCTATTAAGAGGAGCTTTTTTAAAAATGTATATTAGCATTTTTTATTCCTAGTTTATTTTTCAATTTTATTCTTATTAACTTATTATATATATAAATTTTATCATTTACCTTAATAATTCATTTTAATAATAAATCATTTTATCTTCCCACATTCAAAATCATCCTACTAACTTTATATAATCACCAAATAACTTTTCTTTATTTTTTAAGCTATATTTTTTAACTTTAACTAAAAAAAAAAGTCAAACAACCTCTCAATAAACAAAGTTCCAAACCTCAATCCAATATTCTCCAAGCAGGTTTATTGGTCAATAGTATTCTGGTATCTCTGCAATTTTACTATGCAACCATGTTAGGGGCAATAAAAAAAACTTCAAAGTATAGCCCCCACCTACTATAAATAAGATACTCAAGTTTGAGGAGGTGTATTGTATTAGAATTTTATAAAAAAATTGAGATAAAAAATGTTAGAGTAAATACTCTTTTTGGTCCTCAGTAAATTTCACGATGCCCATTTTAGTCCCTAGCAAATAAAAAGGCTCATTATGGTCCCTAAAAAATTCATAGACTCATTTAGTTAAAATCGTGGTCCCTCACAAATTCAAAAAAGACCCATACTAGTCCCTAAAAGGACTAAAATGGGTCCATTTTGAATTTTTGGGACCACGATGAGCCTTTTTATTTGCTAGGGACTAAAACGGGCATCGTGAAATTTGCTGAGGACCAAAAAAGATATTTACTCAAAATCTTATATATTTTAAAAGATTATTTAGAATTGGAGAATTTTTTTAAAAAAATATTCAAAATACTTTTTTTCACAATCAAGATTGAATTTTTAAGAATTTTAATAGAATTTATAAAATTTGAAATGACAATATAGATCTATAAGATTTTAAAAAGTCGTGAATTTTTAACAAACATTCAAAATTACAAGAGTCAATAAAAAAAGGGTAAAGAATTTCTCTAATCAATGGAGATAAGTTATC